CACAATCACACCCGCACACACACACTCGCACACACAGACACCATCGACATGCACAATCACACCCGCACACACACACTCGCACACACAATCACACCCACAGGCACAATTACACCTGTACACACACAATCTCACACACAATCTCCTCAACATGCACAAACACACTTGCCTGTGCACACAGTCACATACACTCAAACACCCACAAACACTCAAATGCTTGAACACACACACAGATCCTCTCCAGGTGGTGCTGTGAAGTGGGAGACAGTTTGCAGCTTCTCGGCTTGAGTCTGATTGACCTGTTGCTCTCTGGCTCCCCTGGGCCCCTGGTGTGGCCAGACTCTCCCGAATTCCTCCAGTGCTGGCAGGGACAGCTGCCCACCCTCACACAGGGTGTCCAGGGCATCGGCACTCTGCTGCTGCTGTCAGAGTCATCGGCCGTCAGGTCAGTTCCTGGAGAGCTGCGGGGTCTTCTAGAGCGGGCCTGAATCTGACCAATTAAACCATCCTGCATCTCTCCAGACAGTCGAAAGTCTAAATGTTTTCCAGCACATTCATCACAGACTGGTGCATTGTTTGGGAAGAAGACATGCTTCATTAACTGCTCTTTAACGAGTGCTGGGGCTGTCAGTTTCAATTGCCTGGAGGTGCAGCCATAACTTTTTCCTTTTACCGCCACTATCAGCTGGTAATGCCTTGTTAGATCTCGTTATCATCTGATTAGCTGAGACAAGGGTAACGATTCTCTCTCCATGACCCTGTAGTGCTTCACAGGGAGCAGTAATGGGGAACAAGTGTTAACTCTAAAACAGCAACTGTAAATCGATCTGCAAGAAGAACGACTTTGAAATCAAGTCCATCTGAGCAGAAGGAGAACATTAAGAACATGAAGATTAAGGGAGAATAAAAGCAGCTCAGTGACTGAGTGGTTAGCACTGCTGTGACTTACCCCTGGATTCTGGGCCGAGTTTGCTCCAGCTTCCTCCCTGCGGTCCAGGCTGCCTGGCATCTCTAAATTTTCTCGTGTGTGAACGCCCTGCAACAGAGTGGCGCCCCCCACAGGGACTGTCCCGCTTGGCGGCCTGTGGTGTCTCACCAGGATGAGGCAGCTGACGATGGGTCGTGGTGCGAGTGAGACACAGACCCTGCAGCCCGTGAGACAGATGGAGGGCGGCGAGGTGGGCTCTGTGTTGGTGTGTCTGTTTGGGCTGCTTCTCATTTCGAGGCTTAATCTCGCGCTCCCAGGCAGCGCTTGCATTGATCTGTTCCATATCGAGCTCCTGCTGCTGTCAGCTCCTGGCTGTCCAGCACTGCTGCCTGGGAGATTTCCCTGGGGGCTCAACTCCAGCCGGGGGGGGGGGGTTTAGCGGTGAGTGAATTGGCTGGCCAGTCTGATGGACCTCCTCTGTGTGGACAGACACTGTCCCTGCCCTGCCCTGCGCAGGCCTGGCTCAAGGAGCTCCAGGGCAGCTGCGGTGTGAGAGGAGCATCGGCAGTTTCCTCAAGAGCTCATGAAGGGTACAAACGAGACCAGCTACCCTGCCCATCTAGCTTGCTTGGTAGTTAGCAGTTCATTGAAAGGGATCTCATCCAGCTCTTTCTTTCCAGGGAGTTGTCTTCAATGTGGCCAGGCATCTTGTTCCAGACCCCCACCACTGTTAGCGTAAACAAGTGCTTCCTGTTCTCAGATTTAAATGCACTTCTGTGTAGTTTTCTGAAGATATCCGCTGGATTGACTTTGAGTGTCTTGAGTATCTTTGAGGATTTTGAGAGTGTGTGATGTGATCAGTGTCCATGTGGTTGGCGTGTTTAGTATGTGATCAGTGTCCATGTGGTTGGTGTTCGTGTATGTGATCGCTCTCTCCCAGTGCTGGGGACACATCTGGGAAACAGGGAATTCATCTGGAAAACGGGAAGCACTCCTTTACACAAAGAGTTGTGGGTGTCTGGAAAAGGCTCCCACCCAGGTGTTTGAAGCCAAAACTCTGAGCTGACTGACACCTCTCCTTTCTTCTTAAGTGTTCTGGCATTTTAACAAGAGACAGGAAAAGCAGTTACAGCCATTCCGGAACACATTATTCTATATATATATGAAATATAGATTTATATTTTATTACGTTCACAAATTATTTGCAATTTTTCTCCTTTCAGCGTTATTGCTTCTATTAGGATGTCAGAGTAAATGGAGGGAAGCCAGCCATAATCGCTGCCTGTTCCAGCTCCTGCTCTTTTTTCCTCAGTCCTGATCTTCTTGTCCTCTGACGGCCACCTGCAGATCGGATGAAAGAGATCTACAGGCCAATTAGCGCAGTTATACTTCCCTGAGCAGCAGAGCCATTATCGGCAGGAGAAGCCGAGCAGTTAGATCTCTGCTTCACAAAGCCGGGCAGCTGTGGGCCCTGCAGCCCAGGAGTGCCCCATCCTCGCTGGTCATCTGCCCAGGGTCCAGTCCGCCCCCTCCGGTCCATGACCCCTCCCGGGACCCTCCATTACTGCATTAACCCCATCGAGGCTTGAAGCACCAGCGTTGAAAATGAAAAGAAAAGAAGCTGTTTTCAGCTCTTGCTGTCCCTGTTGATTAAAAAGCTCAAAGGCCCTTTTGTGTGAAGATTCAGGTTCTTCAGCAGCTCGGGCTGATCTGCTCGTGCTTGACAACGGCCCCGGTCCTGCAGACGCGCTCCATTCCGTGTCTGTTCTCTCGGAGGAGATGACAGCGCCGGATCAGCAGGGATGGAGAATTCTGGAAGCAGCTCCATTATGTAGCTCTTGACAAAGAAGTGACAGCTCTTTCATAAGACAGGCAAATGCATAAGAAAAAAATAACTCAATGAAAAGAAATTCAGAAGGATCCTTAAAAGCGAAATTGGCAAGTTTCTAATTTTTCACAGTCCTATAGTGCTTCTTGACATTTGGCCGCCAGTGTGATGCTGGCATGTGTTCAGCAGAGAAGTTACAGCACCTGAAGGGTCAGTGGTAGCAATTAGACGCTGCTTCTTCACCCAGGACGCTCAGACAGTGTGTGTAGCTGGCCAGCTGGTCAGTGAATCCTTTGGCCATGTACACTGGTTGGCAGATGTGGGTGATTTATGAGCTCTGATCTCTGTGCAGAGATTCATTCTTGTGCAGGTGGTGAGTCACAATGAAAATTAATGTGCAATCACTTCCCTGATGGACAAACCTTACTCGGGACCTAGTATTCCTTAAGCTTCTTGTCTCCTACGTTAAACTAGAGGTGGAGTTTTAAAATGGGAGCTGTCGATGGATCTTGCTATACTGTAGGTGTTCAAAGCTGCTCTGCACATGTTTCTGTGGGTGGGGTGGTAATTGAGCACTAGAGAAATTCTCCATGTGTTTTTCTGTTGTGCTCCAAACAAGTTACCTTGGAAAGTCTATCTTCATAACGCATGATTAACAATCAGGATGCAAGTCGCTCCCAGCATGGTGACACCCTTACTGTATCTGGTGAAGCAGGTCTGAGTCTAGTATCCGTCTCTGTGAACCGATCCAGCTCGCATTCCTCGACCACTCCTGCTCAAGACCGGAGAGGCTGGAGAGGGGTGCTCAGACAGACGCAGCTCCGTCGGGGCAAGTGCAGCCTCCTAAAGTGTCCCATTCCCTGGGATGCTCTTCCCAGCAGTTATGGACTCCAGCTGGATGAGGACTGACAGGGCACCACAAGCACTGCAGTCACAGCAGTGGAGTGTCCAGGTCCCCAGAGCCCGACGAGCTCCACACAAGCCCAGGAAAAAGAACAACGAGATCAGACTGATTTCTCGACACACATAGTGAAGTGATTGCAGACCTGACCTTTTACATCTCTGCATGTCCGAATCCTCCTGTAACAGATGGTTTCTTTAATCGATCTAGCCTTGTGTACAACAGAAATATTGCCTTTTTAAGCCTTTTGTTGTTGCTCGCTCTCCTCTGAAACCCAAGTGTGTTATGCGCATACAGATTGGGATTAGAGCAAGATCTGGCCTGTACTGTGCAGCAGGATTTTCTCTTTGTGTGGAGGTTCAGTGGAGTGAAGGAAGTTATTACAAAATAAAGTGTAATGAGACACACTTCCACTGCAGACAACACGAAGGTGGGGAATTTGGGTGGGATGTTATTCTCCCCTGGGAGACACTCAGTAACAGTGTAAAAGCAGACAGTAGGCTCTCTAAGAGGAAAGTGACAAACATCGGATGTCTGCTCTTTGTATTCTTGAAAGGTAGTAAGAGCAGTGAGGCTGCTCAGCACTTAACAGATTCTAATTCAAGTGTCACTGTCGAGCCCATTAAGGAACTGTTGACAATCACAGCAGATATCACTGTCAAACTAGTTTAGCCTTAGGCAATCAGACCACCACTCCTTTGTCAAGAGCAAAAAAACATGCAAAATCCCAGATAGTGATCAGCTAAGGAAAGAAAGCTGTTCTCTCTTTCACTAGGCCAGTCTCTTCCAGTTTAATTTACAATATCAGGTAATCACACAATATCACTCACTTTTAATCAAAGTTTTAGAGCTTCGACATATAATGGTCTTCATTCTCGAGAATTCTGATTGTGGAAGAGAGGAATCACAAAAAATGTAACTATTCTCTACAGAAATCTGCTTAGAGCTGGGTTTCAGAAAACCTTCAAACAGTTTGAAATCGGTGAATCTGCTGTGACCACCTTCATTTCTCATGCACAGCGTGTGCCCTTCAAACATGGGCAATTAGCATTTGCCAATTACCAGCAGCAGCGATTAGTCCCTTTAATTAAGGCGGCTTTGTGACCTTACCTTCAGAACTGCGCTCGTTTCCTGACTGTTTGTTTTGCTCTCTGCTGAAACCCAGGGCGCTCGACAGTGACTCGGGAACCACGTCTCTGTTAATCCATCAGGCTCTCTGGTTCTTGCTGAGGAGTCTGATCAGGTTCATCAGGGATGTCAAGTTTATCCCTCTCATGAGTGAAGGAATGAACAGCTCCGTAACAGCAGCATACTAATCGACTGTAGAATCAACAACAGGCAGAGATATTGGCCTATAATTAGACCCCAGGAAATTACACAATTATTTATACATAGGGAAGCACAAAGATAATGAAAATTGGACTCAACATACTTGAACAAGATTTTCATAAAACCAATATAAATCAGGAAATTTTATTTTGAATTTGTATGAAAAATAACAGCATTACATAGCAAAACATCCATAAGAAGAAAGTTTCTTTCAATCCTTTTAACACAGACAGCTTGTTTGATTGCAGTCCAGGTGTCTCATCCAGCTGACTGCAGAAAGAAGGCAGAGAATCATCTTGGCCAACGTGGCTGGGCAGATTGTTTCACATTCCTTCAGTCCTCTGTGAGAGGAAGTGCCTCCTGTTCTGAGTTCAAAACGCACTGTTGATTCTTAACAAGTCTGCTTCAGGGCCTTTGAGGATTTTGACTGCTTGAATTGGGTCTCCTCATTGTCTTCTCTGTTCAAGACTGAAAAGGTTCAGTTCCTTCAGCCTGTCAGAGCAGGACTCTCCTTTAAGCCCCAGAACAAATCTGGTTGCTCTTCACTGAACTGATTCCAGAGCAGCAATGTCTTTTTTATAACACAGTGGCTAAAATTGTGCACTGTTCTGAAAGAGGGCTAGTACAAGTTCCACATAACATCCATTGATTTAAATGCTATACTTTTTTAATATACAGTATGCAGTATTTCTCTGAGGTGCATCTAACTGCCAAAAACGAGATTAATCTCAATTACATTATATTCCATTTATTCACTTTCCCCCTTTTCTGCTCCTACGTATGTGCATAATTATAGTAGCATTTGGGTTATTCAAAATTAATTCTAATATACTGTATGGGTGATAAAAAGCCTTTACTTTTAATGCATAGTGTCATGTGCATTTCAAATGGTTCCTTTATTATGTGAATCACATTAGTGCTTTTTAAATGTGCGCTGAAAGCTCTGATTACACAGCAGTATTGCCTGAAAGAGGCTCTTTCACAGAGCAGCTCCTGCAGCACCAGTCCTGCTATCTGCAGGGTGACTCTCGGCATTCCCCCTCATGTAGGTGGGCCACGTCTTCAGCTCATTACCTCCCTGTAATTGTGTTATTAGAGCAGGTGACCGAGTGGTCCAGATCTCAGTGCAGACAGCACTTTGATGAGGAGGCTCAATAATCAAGTACTCTCTTCATTAATTTTAGCCCACATCATGACTCTCTCGATGAGCCACATGAAGTGATATTTTCAAAAACAGGCTTTGATTACTGAAGGACAATAAAATGAAAAGGGCAGTCTGCAGAAATCACAAATGAAAAAAAATGTTCTATTGTCTTATATAGGTTCATGCATGACTTCTGAAAAATGACTTCTGGTGTCGAGATGCTGCATTGTGCTGGCTCTCAGTGGTCTGCACAAACACCCCTGCGATGATCTAGATCTCTCATCTTTCTCTTTCCTCTTCTTGAGTTCTGTGTTGGGTGTGGGTGGTGGGGAGAGTAAAATGCAACCCTACTCTGAGCTCTAATCCTCAGCAGACAGATTGTTTCACTGGGATGATCCAATAAGGATCACTAGTTTGCTTTAGACACCCAACTGCCTTCCCACCATCTGTAATGTTTCTGATGTTCATGTGTCCTCAAAGCTGGAGACTGTTCAGGAGATAGAAAATGCACTCAAATCTCTCAGCCTCCAAGTTTCAAAGATTTAATCTTCAGCTAAGGAGTTTCAACAGTGCCAATTGTTGTTGCTGTTTTCCCCAATTTGGATTCACCAGTTGTGCGTTTGTCAGCTAGGACCCCTGTGATCACACCCAGGCAGAATGAGGTGAAAGTGTCAGGATTCCTCCACCTCCCCAGTGTCATGAGTGACCCGCTGAAGAAACAGGAAGATGGACCCTATGCGGTACCTTAGGGGGCTAGATGAGAGGTGAAGTCCGAGTCGAGTTCCAAGGTTCGTAGAAAGAGGCAGGAGAGAAGGTTTCCAATCCTGAACAGGGCAAGGCTGAAGTCACAGTCGAAGGTGAGTTCCGTGATTAGTAACAAAGAGCAAGCAGAATCTAAGGTAAGGTAGGTGAACAGACAAACAACCCATACCAGGCAAAGAACTGGGGCTTCTGGAGGGTTTAAGTAGTGTGCGAGGGAGGAGGTGCGCTGATTGATGGAGTGTCCTGGTTGGCTGATCGGCAGGAGCGGTGTCGTTTAGCAGGAGTGCTCAGGGCTAGAGTGTGATTAGTGCGAGTGCACTTCCGTGTGAGAATGTGGTGGGGTGAAGGCGCGACACCCAGGGTGGCACAGAGACTGAAACCAGTGCTATTCTAGTGCAAAGACTGAAATCAGGAGGTTCTTTGCACAAAGCAGTGTTCATATCCTGCAAGAATGGACTAGACTCAATATTTCGACTAGCTACTAGAAACCCAATGAGCAAGCTGGATGACATGACCTCCTATCATTTGTAACCCTTTGTATATAATACTACAGACATCTGTGTGCACTTTGGGAGTTCAGGAATGCTACACAACAGTAATACAATAAAAATGCTGTAAACCAGATATGCAGGCTGGCACTGCGCACACAGTCCTGTTATTGTTGTGTTATTCTCACTTCATCAGCCCTCTCTGCCAGCAGTAAAACCCAATTACCCAATTAAAATTACTGCTAATTACCCTCTGAATCGGCCCACATCAGCCTGCAGGCTTCATCTGGGGGATCCGGCCAGGTTCTGTGCCCGTTACTCGGAGAGAGCTGAAGAGCCCCAGCCTTCAAAGACTAAAGAACACATCACAGTACAAGCGCAGCACGCTGAGCTCTCAAGTCTCAGCACATTAGAGTACAAGGCACAGGCGGGGGTGAAGAGAAGGGTCCCCTCCCTTGATGGTCCCCTCTCTTACCTGCGACCGGCGCAGAACATCGTCGGACTGTGACACTCGCTCGCAACATTTTCAGTCACACCCTGTCCAGAACATTCTAACAGGGAGTACGTCGTCATTTCAGATCCCATAATTGCACTGTAAGGCCTGCTCTGTTTTTGAGTCATTTCCACTCTGATGGCCACACTGGGTCAGAACCGGACTGTGTGATCGGGTCCATGCTGTGTAGCCCTGAAGCCTGGTGTAGCGGAGGTCGCTGTTGTCATGGCAGCCCGAGAGCGCCTGGGATCCAATCTGTGGCCGTGGAGCAGACACCGATTTCATAGATTCTTTTGGGCCCTCCTGATCCAGGTGGCACAACGACACCGCCTGGGCACACACTCGCACACCCGCGCACAGATTCACACACTCACACACCCGCGCACAGATTCACACACTCGCACACAGACTCACACACTCACACACCCGCGCACAGACTCACGATCGCACACCCGCGCACAGACTCACACTCGCACAACCGCGCACAGATTCACACACTCGCACACCTGCGCACAGACTCACACTCGCACACCTGCGCACAGACTCACACACTCGCACACCTGCGCACAGACTCACACACTCGCGCACAGACTCACACTCGCACACCTGCGCACAGACTCACACTCGCACACCCGCGCACAGACTCACACACTCATACACCCGCGCACAGACTCACACTCGCACGACCGCGCACAGACTCACACACTCGCACACCTGCGCACAGACTCACACTCGCACACCCGCGCACAGACTCACACACTCGCACACCCGCGCACAGACTCACACACTCACACACCCGCGCACAGACTCACACACTCACACACCAGCGCACAGAGACAAGCACCTCCGCAGGCAACATCCGCTCAGTCAGAGCGCAGCAGGACTTGATAACGACTGCAGGGGCAGGCAGAGAGTTGACTCTGGAGTTGACCCCGGGCTCCTCTCTCTACCCCCACTGCCGTTGAAAAGTGAGGAATTGTGCATCCGGAGAAATCCCAGTGGCCAGGAATGGCTGGTGTGCGCTCTCACTCCTATTATCCCCCTCTCCTTCCGTTTCTGCTGAGACCTCATCACTGGCGCCAGGTCCTCTCAATCCTCCACAAGTCACTGTAGCAAGAAAGACGTCTCTTCAGAAGCACAGAAGAGCGTCTCATGGCTGGCAGAGGCTTATCTGCAGCTCCGCAGGTCTGTCGCTGCCCTGGGGACCCTGCTGTTTACACACCAGGCTCTGCCCATAGCAACGTCACCAGCGCTCGCTGGCCGCTTTCCTGGCACTGAGACCAGCGAGTCCAGCAGCTCCCAGAGACAGCAGGTGCTTTGAGAAGTCTCTCTCAGCGGGTATGCGGATATCTGAAGAAGGCTGAACAGCAAGCATGCTGGTTCGATGCAGCGTAGGACAGGGGGTCACCGGTCACCCCACACCCCCTGTGCAGGACAGGGGGTCACTGGTCACCCCACACCGCGACTGGCGACTGGCTCCCCTGAATTATCCCCTGGACTCAGTTCCAGGACATTCCCCGGAGCATCCCGGAAAACATGAGGAAGAGTAGGAGCTTGAGGAAGAGGAGACAGGTTCATATTACATTAAATCTGCGTGCTCTGTTCTTCCGCTTGGCATTTTTTTAAATTTAAGATTAGAATCTCATTATGGTGTGTAAAAAGCTCTCTCCTGCCGTAAGAGACTCCTCAGGATCATTCAGTTTTTGTGCTGAGAGCGGAGAGCTGGGTATTTATCAGGAGTCACTAGCTAACAAGCTCCATCGCTCTTAGAGCTTGGGGTCCCTGAGACCTGCTCTCCCTCTGTGCACTGTTTCAGCACTGGCCTTGGTGACACACATAAAATGATCAGATCAGATAAGATCAATTTATTGGCCATATACAATTTCTTGTATGAGGAATCTGTCTTTTCTCATACCCCAGCTTGCTCTCCATGAGACACACAGACAGGGAGAGAAGCTGGGGGTCAGAGCGCAGGGTCAGCCATTGTACAGCGCCCCTGGAGCAGCTGGGGTGACGGGCCTGGCTCAGGGGCCCAACGGAGTAGGATTCCTCTGCCACAGTGCCACCACTCTCCAGCCTTTCTAAGGAGAAAAAGGAGCTGTGAGGAAGAAGGAAATCCTGGCTCAGAGCTCACAGCCTGCAAGAACTTGAGACATCTTGAGATGTGCAGGGAGGGGCACAGCACCGTGATCCAGTAAGACACCCGCGACAGGCCAGGGCGGGCCTGGAACCCAGCAGGATCAGCACCAACCATGAGCCTCAGCAAGCATCACAGTCAGGGTTCGAGGGAATTTGCTTCCTGCTCCCAGGGGTGATGATGACAGAGGCGGCGAGGCTGGGCAATATCGGGGGCACTTCAGAAAAACAGCTTTCCAGCCGGAATCGAACGGCTGTCATGAGAGCAGTGATCCAGCGGGAATTATTGATCTCTGTATTATTTGCTTGCTTGTTAAAACAAACAGAAGGCGCAGGAGCGGAGAAGGCAGCCCCCCTTTCTGCTTGAACTGGCGGATTCAGAGACGGCCGGTCAGGGGGAAACTCGCTGAGCGACGCGCTCCCTGTGAAGCCGAGCTCACTGCTCCCACGCCAGGCTGCCCACGGGCGGTCTGGACACGACGCGGGAGCCCACCACCTGCAGGAGCAGTGCCTGATCAGACCTCTTCTCTCCCAGAAACCCGCAGACATTTTCACCAGTTGACACAGCTGGGAGTTTTACTCATGCAATTCAAGTGTGTCATCTCACCCGGGCTTCGGACCCATCACCTTCCAGTCCAGGGCCAGCGGCACCGCTGCCTGTGAAGGACACCGGTCGGTGGGTGGTGGCTAGCACTGCCGCCCCACAGCCCCCCGGGTCTGGTCAGCAAAAGCAAACGGGCGTCTGTGAGGAGTGTGCGCGTTCCTCCTGTGGCCACAGTTCTAAGACTTGCCGCACGACACTGCACCAGTGTGTGGCTAATTGGGCAGAACAATGGTGATGCTCCTGCGCAGGAAGGCAGCTGTTTGATGTATAATGGATGTGTCTCGGCTTTGACAGGTCTCAGCATCTTCTCTGTCTTCCTCCTGCATGATGCTTTCATCTCCCGAGCCGGGGATCCCCCCGCCCCCCCCTGCGGCTCAGTTCAAGGGCCCCATGGGACTCCCAGACGCCCAGTTTGTATGGGTACAGGGAATCCGGGAGCCTCCGAAGATGACATTTTCCCAGGCGAGGAAATGAACACCTACAGTATCTGCAGAGCCAGAAATGACCTTCACAGGCAGTGAGTGCGGCTCAGAGCTCCGACACCACGCTTCCCAGCAGGCTTGAGCAGCGGCACAGAGGCACACGGCCCTGACGGCTGATTAGCCGCTGTCTCCCGCGCTGCGGGCTGGGGCAGGCCTGGGGAATTCGCTACACGACAGGCAGGGGTGCGGCGCTGCCAACCAGAGGAAGCGCAGGGGCTGTCAGCACAGCAGGCCTGAGAGACCTACAGACTCGCACCCCCGGCCGCTTAGCGCATGGAGGGGTTATAAACATCTTACCCCCTTTAGAGATTCAGCAGCCGGTCACCTGCAGACGGGGTCCACTTGTGAACACTAGAACTGTCATTACCTAATTGTTTAGAGTACTAAAATCTCTAGGTGGGCACAGATGCTGGATGCTGGAGTACAGCTGAGCTGGGGACCCCTGGCCTCACAGTGCAGTGTTATGAATGAAACGCTTGCTCTGTACAAGAGGAACAATACCCCACTTGGCCACAGGAGGGCAGCGCTCAGTAGCATTTTGGAGTCTCTGAGTACAAACATCAGGGCTAAACCATGACCTACAGAGAGCACGACAAACACCTCCAGGAGCTCTTTATCACACAGAACCTCTAGTTTATGGAGGGAAACTCCAGCTCCAGCTCAGTGGGTGGATAGGAAGCTTTTAATTATCAGCTGTAAAAAGTCATGGTGACCCGACCCTGATGACCTCTCTAGATTAAGACACTGCACATAGTAGAGAGACTCCTTATTCCTCATCCTAATCTGCACAGTGCAAACTCGTTATCAACCACATTCCTGATGCACTGCTCTGTCCTTATCTGCACAGTGCAAACTTTTATCTACCATACTGCTGATCCACTGCACTGTCCCAGTCTGCACAGTGCAAACTCGTTATCAACCACACTGCTGATCCACTGCACTGTCC